TCTCTCTCTCTCTCTCTCTCTCTCTCTCTCTCTCTCTCTCTCACACACACACACACACACACACACACACACACACACACACCAGGTTGTCTCCTCTTACGTGCAAATTTTTCCTCTCTTTCTTTATCTTTGTTTTTTCCTTAACAATGGGGCTCACTCCACTACTAAACATTCTACATGCATCTGGACTTCATTTTGAGACACATGCACTTGAATGGATTAGTGGTCGTGTGAATATGCCCTCGTACTTGGTTATTTACTATAACTTATTTCTGTACTAGACTTAACCCGTCCCCACAGGAATAGATAGCTGTATCTAGACTGAGTGCTGCCCAAAATATATACTATATAGTATATCCTATATAGCTATAATGACCAGGCATTCCATTCGGGTGAATTGTTTTGGTTTCAAATTTTCTGTGTATTTACAAATTTTAGGATGTGGGTTTTGATTCAAATGTGCTGAAAGTCACTCTGGGGCTTTAGATCATACCAGCACTTAAACCACCGCTTCGGGTGACTCAGCAGCCTGTGTCCACCTTCGGGGGTATTGGACCAGTACTGAAGGAGTGTAGCCTCTGATGGCAACGTCGGGCAGCATCAGTAGGCCCATGGCAAACTGCTGTCTGCTTCTAGGGGTAAGGGATGATAGACCTATCCAAATGGGGCCTCACACTGGGTGCACCTCTGGTGAAGAGGAAGCCCGGGCGTTGCTGCACAACTGAGCACCTGGACATTCCTGGCAGACTGTGGCATACTGCGTAGCCACACGGGCCCTACAGGGCCCGTCCCGGACATTCAGCCTAAAAGCCTAAAACTTAGGGCTTACAGGCCCCGTTCATTTCAGCCTGGATGCTGAAAAACGAGGGCMTGCRGBCCCTACYTCRTTTCAGCCTATTTCTGGGTCTTTTCAGACCCAGAGTTTTCAGCCTGAAACGGAGGGCCATTTTCAGGCCCTCATTGTTTCGASCTGCTCCTAAGACTCAGGCACGGAAACAGGGATGCGGAACAGGCCCMAAATAGCCTGTTCCTCACGTACTCGGGCAGGAGCTGCAGCTGCAGCCCCTGCCTCCCTTCGGCAGGCTCAAGAGGCACACCCGTAGTACATAGGAGGTTCCCATGCACTTCACGGGAGGGAGAGTCAGTAGGCGGGGGTAGTCTTCAGGGATTCGGCCGCAGCACTCAGGAGGAGCACTGCAGTAGTCTTCAG